CAGCCACTGGACATGGCAAGAAGGCACCCCTAAGCACCTTGCGCAGTTCTTACAACACCCTCACTCTCACCTATGTCGTGCTTTGACTTTTACCCCTCCTGTTGTCCCTGTTCCCCTTCACCACCTCCCTTTCTCTGTGCGGTTGTCTCGCCTATATAAATTATCTTTCTGTTAGTGTTACCAATATTTCTCCTCGCATTGTTCCATTCTTGCCTCCTGTGGAGGGTCCCCCCTTCCTAAATTTTGTAAAACCCTGACCCACGTGACTAAAGCTTTTACCCCCCTACAGTTCTGAAATGTCTTTTCCTTGAACACCTTTCTTCACACTCCCACTTCATTTCTGTCTTCACCAACGAGTCAGAGTCTGCAGATGGTGTAGGCTACTCTGTTGTTTTTCCTGACCACAGATATGTGTGTCGTCTGCCTCCGGAGACTAGCATCTTCATGGCAGAACTTTATGCTATTCTGTATGCTCTTTGTCAACTGCTTTCTCACTGTCAATCCTCCTTTGTTGTTGTAGTTGACTCTCGCAGTGCCCTCATGGCTCTGGTGTCCTTTAATCCAGTCCATCTGGTGGTAGTCTAGATTGAACATTGGTTGTTTCTTATCTCTAGTAGATTTAAGACAGTGGAGTTTTGCTGGGTTCACAGCTATATTGGTGCGTCTTTAAATGAGCGTGTGGATGCTGCCGCCGAGGAAGCCATACGCACTCATCCCATCTCTCGCTCTGGCGAGGTTGCATATTGGCCATACACACTTAGCTCACGGGCACTTTAATGGAGTGCCACCCCGCTCCTTATTGTCCCTCTTACGGTTGTGCACATCCTTGTCGAATGTCCCGACTTCCAGGATGCTCGTGCGTGTAGCTTCCCGACTGTCCCTTGCATTCACTTGTCCCTCGATACAATTGTTGGCGATTCGGATACCTTTGATATCGTTTGCCTCGTGCGTTTCTGTTTGCATATTGGCATTCTTGGTGATATTTGTCACCCTATGATTAATACGCACATTTGACGGTGCTACATAGCCTTCCCTGCTTGGTGGCTCCTTTTGATAATTATTTCTGCTACACAGTTCTATATAGCTGCAGTCTGCCTACAACCTGCAACTCAGTCATCGGCCACAAAAGGAAAACCTATTCATTCTTTTCTTTCATCCACAAAGGTAAGAAACCAGCTGTTCTAACCATTTATTTGTTATCTGACATCAAATAACATAAAGAACCTTGTCAGTAAATATTGCAATATTCCATCAATATAGTATTAAGAATAAAAACAATATTGAAACATATTTTAACCACTTAGTATACATAACTACTTTACAATTGCTGCTTTTGTGAGGTGTGTGTGTGTGTGTCTCCAAGACAAAGAAGCAGGAGGAAACTATCTTTGGGCTTAATGCCTGGCTCAAATGCTGTAATGTTAATGTCTTTTTTTAAGTAGCAAACGTTTCAGGAACACTCATACCACCCATGGTAAGGCAGCTGACCATGAAATTATAATTAGACATGATGCTGTTAATACCTGAATAAAAGAAGTAGCCTTGGCAACACAGACCAGCATTTGTAGCCAAATCAATACCTAATTACATGAATAAACTATAAAGGAGCAAATAATACCTGGGTATTATGTACAGAAAGTTGAAATGTACGTCAAGCCCTACAACTTGAAAAGGAATCATGCTCACTCTTGTAGAAGGAAGTCCTATACTGTATGCTCGGTAATGATTAATGTATTTTTTGTTCCAATAAGAAATGGCCATTATTTAGATTTTTGAACACTACAGGATGTAAAGGGTTGAGACTCCATAGCCATGAGGGCACTGCAAGGGTGAATCACAATGACATGAGTGAGAGGAAAAATGTTAAAAGGGGAAAAATATTTTCAGAACAATAGGAGGGAAGATAAAGCTTCAGTATGTGAGTTAGGGCTTGAAAAATTTCACAAGCAAGACCCTCTGTTGGGGGCAGGGGGGCAAGGAAGTATCGAACAGTGCAAGGAGTGACATTGCAAGTGTGGATGCTGTGAGTCTCACAATTGAGTCACCCTTGCATTGAAAAGGAAGGTGGCAAAGAGGGAGTAAGTCGTTCCTGAGTGGCAGTGAAAGCACAACTTTAACCACTGAGAGGTATATAATCAAAGGAGCGAGGATGTTGTAAGGATCACGTGAGGTGTCAAAGGTAGTAATGATCATGACAATCCTTTAGAGACATGATGCTAGTTTCGACATGAAATTTCTAGGCAGGCCACGAACAAGTACCAGAGCTGAGGTGTAACCTAATGTGGTGTAGGGCGTCAAGACTATGAATAGTCAAGGGAGAGGTAGAGGAATCGGCGGGGTGGGCATAATCGAATTTAGACTGAATAAGAGTACTGCATATAGATGCCTGTGCATGTTAGCAATTCTCCAGGAAGTATGGGGCAAGTTAAGAACCTTGGAGCATTCATGGAGGTAAGCAACACTGGAAACCCAAGACAAATGGGTATCAAAGGCCAACCCCCAAGAGTTTGCAGAAGAGGATTACCATAGATACCAGGTACAACGGATTGAAAACAACGACCTCCAAAATTAGATATATAAAATTTGCACTGTGACAATCTAAGAGAAAATTTAGTATGTCCGTCACGTGTAGTGTCGAGAGTAAACATGAATAGAGATTAAAACTACCCAAGAGGGGGCATGAGTAGCCCGTTATGCCATGGGTTGAGGGTATTGTAAAGGTGGACGCCATGGTGAAGATGGGGTGGGGGGCTATGGGGTGAAGATGGGAGGGCTATGGGGGCCCGGGGGGTGAAGATGGGAGCCAGGGGGTGAAGGTGGGGGCCAGGGGTGAAGATGGGGACCAGGGGGTGAAGATGGGGACCAGGGGGTGAAGATGGGGACCAGGGGTGAAGATGGAGGACCAGGGGGTGAAGATGGGGGCCAGGGGTGAAGATGGGGACCAGGGTGTGAAGATGGGGACCAGGGGGTGAAGATGGGGACCAGGGGGTGAAGATGGAGGACCAGGGGGTGAAGATGGAGAACCAGGGGGTGAAGATGGGGGGACCAGGGGGTGAAGATGGAGGACCAGGGGGTGAAGATGGGGGCCAGGGGTGAAGATGGGGACCAGGGGGTGAAGATGGGGACCAAGGGGTGAAGATGGAGGACCAGGGGGTGAAGATGGAGGACCAGGGGGTGAAGATGGGGGACCAGGGGGTGAAGATGGAGGACCAGGGGGGTGAAGATGGGGACCAGGGGGTGAAGATGGAGGACCAGGGGGTGAAGATGGGGACCAGGGGGTGAAGATGGAGGACCAGGGGGTGAAGATGGGGGCCAGGGGTGAAGATGGGGACCAGGGGGTGAAGATGGAGGACCAGGGGGTGAAGATGGGGACAAGGGGGTGAAGATGGGGACCAGGGGGTGAAGATGGAGAACCAGGGGGTGAAGATGGGGGACCAGGGGGTGAAGATGGAGGACCAGGGGGTGAAGATGGGGGCCAGGGGTGAAGATGGGGACCAGGGGGTGAAGATGGGGACCAAGGGGTGAAGATGGAGGACCAGGGGGTGAAGATGGAGGACCAGGGGGTGAAGATGGGGGACCAGGGGGTGAAGATGGAGGACCAGGGGGGTGAAGATGGGGACCAGGGGGTGAAGATGGAGGACCAGGGGGTGAAGATGGGGACCAGGGGGTGAAGATGGAGGACCAGGGGGTGAAGATGGGGGCCAGGGGTGAAGATGGGGACCAGGGGGTGAAGATGGAGGACCAGGGGGTGAAGATGGGGACAAGGGGGTGAAGATGGGGACCAGGGGGTGAAGATGGGGGACCAGGGGGTGAAGATGGGGGCCAGGGGGTGAAGATGGGGGACCAGGGGGTGAAGATGGGGGACCAGGGGGTGAAGATGGGGACCAGGGGGTGAAGATGGGGACCAGGGGGTGAAGATGGGGGACCAGGGGGTGAAGATGGGGGCCAGGGGGTGAAGATGGGGGACCAGGGGGTGAAGATGGGGGACCAGGGGGTGAAGATGGGGGACCAGGGGGTGAAGATGGAGGCCAGGGGTGAAGATGGGGACCAGGGGGTGAAGATGGGGACCAGGGGGTGAAGATGGAGGACCAGGGGGTGAAAATGGGGGCCAGGGGGTGAAGATGGAGGCCAGGGGGTGAAGATGGGGACCAGGGGGTGAAGATGGGGACCAGAGGGTGAAGATGGGGGACCAAGGGGTGAAGATGGGGGACCAGGGGGTGAAGATGGGGACCAGGGGGTGAAGATGGGGACCAGGGGGTGAAGATGGAGGACCAGGGGGTGAAGATGGAGGACCAGGGGGTGAAGATGGGGGACCAGGGGGTGAAGATGGAGGACCAGGGGGTGAAGATGGGGACCAGAGGGTGAAGATGGGGACCAGGGGGTGAAGATGGAGGCCAGGGGGTGAAAATGGGGGCGAGGGGGTGAAAATGGGGGCCAGGGGGTGAAGATGGAGGCCAGGGGGTGAAAATGGGGGCCAGGGGTGAAGATAGGGGTAAATATAATATATACATAAACCTATAATATATATAATATATAATATATAATATATAATAATATAAACCAGAGATAAAGGAGAATGAATAATAATAAAGATAAGGCAAACGAAGATAATGGAAGCAATAAGGTATAATTGTATTAAGATCGTTAGGGTAAATGATTAATGTAATGACAATGTATTGGTGGTATGCTATTGTCATGAGTCTTGTGGAATTAATGTACATTCATTTGTATGTAAAGTTTCCCAGTTATAATGATAGAGGCATTGGTGAATAAAGTTAATGAGTAGTTGAAATGTTGAGTAACGACTGTTTATGTCCTGAGAAATGGAATGAAACACGTTGAGCGTAATTTATTTTCCTGATTAGCCACATTTTGAAAAAATAAATGATGGCGATAATACATAAATGTAAATACGTGTAGTATAGTGTAACAGAACTTTGTATTGAGTATACTAAAGGGCAAGTTGGCCACCCTTCCATAATGGGTGACATTATCGAGACTTGGCAACACCGGCGACGACTCGACCTGTGGAGGTACCTGCTGGTGGCTGTCAGTGTGTGACCAGCAGTGACAGGGTGAGGATATCGCAGCTCCAGTCTTCTTGGTCGTTCGCTGTGATTGGGTCGTCGTCGTTATGAAGAAGTAAGGAGTGTTATTTTGTTCGTGGTGATACAGGATAAGTTACAGTAACGTGGGTGGAAAATAATAACCAAAGTCAGTCATGTGTGACTTTGAGTTAAGTTAGTTTATACATGAAGTGAATAGTTCGGGTAGATCGGTAGTGATTTATTGTAAGTTTTGTGTAAAATAGTTGCCGTTATCTAACTAAACCTACGATTTAACAGGTAGACTTGGCTCCTTGTTAAAATATTTCGGCTTGTAGGTAATGTACGGTTTACTGAACTTTAGTTTTATAAAATGTTTGTAAATTGTCCTCAAATAATTAAGTCGTGGTAGATGTTGGTGGGTGACGGGCCAGAGTGCCTAGTAACGTGATGTTAAATCTTTAACTTTGAAAGGTTTTGAGTATTCCTTATGTTAACTAAAGATGAGGCTAAGTACTTGTACAAAATACATTGTTGGGGAAAAATATTTAAATATAGTTATTCATAGGAAATTGGATTATTGTACATAAAGAATTTATTGGTAAATTAATCTTTATTCTAAGCTTGATTTAGGTATTGTAAAACTGTCACTAGTTTCATACACTTAAGGTAGAGCAGATTTAATTAGATGTACATGGGGAAAGAAACGTTAAAGGGGGGGGGGGGGCATTTCAATAAGTGAATATAATGTATTGCAGTGAAGTTATACCTTTTGTGAAAGCATAATTTTAAATACAGAAGTTTTAAATTCTTATCGGTAAGTGAATTAGTTTATTAGTAATTTTTCAGGGATTTTTTGAAGTTGGTTTCATGAGGGTTGTTCATCTGCAAATAGGAAAAATATAGAAATATTGGTTGAGTAGTTCTGGGTAACCTTCAGGAATGTTTAAATATTTATAAAATCATTAAATGAACTTGGATGGTATTTGATAAATTGTCGAGGAACTAAACATAAAAGGTGTAAATGTCGTATAAATGAATTAAATATAACACACTGCAAAATGTGCCTAAGGTTGACATAAAACTTCCTAATTTGCACCCTTAGATAGGCTTGTGTAGTTATGTGTAAGTTTCATGCCAATCTGCTGTTAAAGGGAAAAAAATAACGACATTAAAATCCTTTGCTACTTTGATTGTAGTAAAACTAGATTTTAGCCTACAAAAGTTATTTAAATGCTAGAAAAAATGACTAAGTCTGTATATGCTACTATACTTACTTGAACTAGTTGAAGGATTTTCAGTCAAAATAAAAATTGAACTAGTTTTCATCTACAGCATATTGAGATTACCCCCCGTAAACGTAAGAAAATTATGGTTGGAATGTTTTGCAGAGTTTACCTTTGGAGGCAAAGAAGTGTCATTGGGTAATTTGAGTTACCCTGGGGATACTTTTGGTTATTACTTCCAGTGACATTTGACCAGCTTGATCGACGTTAGTAGTTTCGTATATTTCGCAGATAACTACAGGTTAAAGTTTAGGTTTAGGTAACATTGGTAAATCTGTAACAGGGTTAAGAAATTACTATTAACATAATAGAAGTAGGAATCTGTAATTTGTTTAAAGCATAGTTTACTATGAGATTGGATATATGTAAAAGTTGCCATCATATGGGCGAATAAGCCTTCTGCAGTTGCCTTAATTATGGTTGTTTACTGGATCAGGGAAAATGCATAATCATTAAATATGCAAGTATAATTTAGTTTTGATGTCCATAGATCAGTTTGTAGATGTGCTTTAGTTTTAAAGTAGTTTAATACTGTACATGAAATGTTGTGGAATTTAACAAATTGCAAATTAGTGTGCAAATTGAATAGTTTTTTTGACAGATGGTGGTTTAGACCACTAAAGATCTAGTGGTAGGGATATTATGGCATGTGGCAAATTAGAATTGTAATAGAGGTCTGGCTGAAAAGCTAGATATAAAATTTTTCGTCAGTCTTGCAAGTGGTTTAAGGATGTAGAAATGCTGGCTAGTTTAGGCAAGATAGTAAAATCTGAAAGGCAATATGGCACCGTCTGACAAAGGGGCATAATCATAGCTTTGAAGTAGAATGTGGTGGTAATCGATAAGATGTCATTAGTTAATTAGTTGTAGGATAATGTTATCCTAGGTTTGTAGATGGGGTAAATTAAATTTGTTCCAAAAGTAGAGGAAAACAAAGCATTTAACTGTAGGTACCAAAAGAATTGCTTGTAACGTAACTGGTGGATATACCTAATTTTAGGTCAGATTGGCTGGAGCCGTTTCTGGAGATGACTACCAACCTGCAGTGAAGAGCCAACTAGTCATGGGCATGCATAGCTGTAAATGAGACGGTTCGAGGTTTTGCCAGTCGACTAATCTAAATGACAAAGGTTGTCGGAGTAGTCGTCAAATCAGGTGAGACGTGTACATATATGGGTTGGCTAGAGGGGAAAACTATACAGGAAGTTTGCCTTGTAATGTACTAAAGAATAGTGTAAAGTTACTGAAATCGTAAGGTAAAACAAAGTAGGTATACCAAAATAGGGAAAGACCGTTAAAGGCCTGGAGCATAATGTGTGGTAGGAGAATAAGTAGGTGGTTTTAACTTTGGAATATTCTAGTTAATGATTTGTAATGGAGAGAGTTGAGAAATCTTAAACCAGGGTGGTATTTGTCTAGAGAATTGTTTAGTTATATATTAAGCCGATAAGAATCGGAATTGAAAGTTTGCGTTTAGGTAGTAAAGTAAAATTTTGTAAAAGCTTTGAACTGTAGTCTGCTTAATGCTTTGTAGGTAAATACTAATGTAACTGCAGAAAGAATATGAATAACGTAAATTTTAAAGCATTAAACAAAGTACCTTACTAGTTTACTATAGTTTAGTACTCTACATAACAAAAAGTTAAACATGTAACATTGTAGGTTGTGGTCTGTTAATGTGAAGAGATGAGATTGAATAAAGTAGAAATGTGTAGAATAGATTTAAGAATAAAGAATGCCACAAAGTTCCTTAACTTATGTAAATAATCTAATGTAGAAATTTATTTCAGGGCTGGGTGGCTGTAGGCGTGAAGATGGTTGAAAGAAAGATCCTAGTTGACTAAACTGTGTAAAGTAAAGCCAGCCTTGAAGTCTCCAAACCCAATCAAGCAGGATTAAGTAAGTATGCAGTAAAGATGTCTGAACAGATTAATAAGTGGGGTTAGCAGTCTGTATTAGTCAATAGTTATTTTTGGGCTGCAGTTACCTTGTGCAGTTTTATTTTAAAATGGGGCATAAAAATACTAGTTCAAAGGAAATACCAGCCCATCTTCCAGACAAAATTGAATCCATCACGAAAAAGTAATTTGCTTAGAACACTTCAGGCACAGATGCTTTGTAGTTTTACTGAAATCACAAAGGGGGTAAATGGTTTACCTAGATGCTAAAAATAATAGCGAACATGAACAGCACCTAACCTATGCTTATATGCAAATCTTTGAAGAATGTGAAATAATAATGTAATTTATGGCTGTCTTTGGGGGGGTGGGTAAATGGACCAGTTGAGGACAGGTTGCCATTACATAATGAAATAAAGGCTATATGACACATATTATGTAGTGCCTAAATGTGTAGTTAATGGTAGAATAGGTGTTACTAGTTGTTTGAAGTGCTGTAAAGTACATAATTTCAGGTGGTACCAGAGGGGGTTAGCAGGACTTGCTGCAGGACATGTGGAGCAGTAGAAGATGGACGCTTCTATACTAAAGGACAACGATCACTGTAGACCTGGATGTGTTGCTAAATTTACAATTTGACTAAGAGGTAGATATTTTGTCATTGAATTGTGGAATTTAAGTTTAGTGCACTAAATTTGTTTTTGTAAAGTGTTAAAGTTGGAAGGATGTGCACTGTTCTTCAGGGTAGAATTTGTAGTGGTTCACTGGAAAACTGTAATAAGTTTTGCTATATATTTAGTTGGCAACTGTTAAGAGTAATGCAGGGTTTTAAGTGTGATTGTATAAGTGCATAGAAACTGTTAATGAATGTAATTTTTGTAACAATTTAGTAAAAGTTTGTACAGCTGTAAAATATTGATAGTAGTGAATTGGAAGAGCCATGAGATTAGTAAATGTAGTATGGTATTTGCAAGCATATGGCTTTGACTTGTACAAAAGATCATAGGTTAAAATTGTTGTAAAGGCTGTTAACCTACAAATCTTCATCTAACAGTTTATTTGCAATGTTATTTGAGTGAAGGTTTGGTATAGTTGTGCTTGTGGAATGAAATTGGAATAGTTTACATGTAAAAATATAAGAATGTAGTTTGACAATGGATAAAAAATGTTCATAGCATTAAAGGAATAAAAAACTGAAATAAAACAATAGTGTGTTTGGCATAAATGATTTTTTAAGGGTTTTTAAAAAATTGGTTTAGCTATTGTTGATGGGATAAAGGTATTGTATAAAATGGTGTAAATAGACAAGTTGAAGTTTATATAACATAAGTAGGTTGTGTGTGCAATACATGGTGAAAGTTGATACATGTTTGTGGTAATGTGTTATAAAAATAGATGTGCACAAGAGGCTTCGTATATAAAGTTGTAATGAGTGTCCTTGGTTTTGAAGAGTGGTAAGAGATTTGTTGTAGAAAATTTATAGCAACCAAATCATAAATGTCTAAGTTAATATTTAAGTCTGTAATGGAACATTATGCATAAATTGTTGGTTATATAGTAATATTTTAAATTTAATTGCAGGAATGGTTAGTGTTGAAAGTGAAGGAGCTGGTTGGACAGCAATGCTGGACTTGTGATCCTGGGTGCCAGTGAGAAACAATGGGCAGTTTCTTTCACGGGCTGCTTCCTGGGGGTGGAGGCCTGGGCTGTAGAGATGGTAAAGCTGTGAAATCTAGAGATAACCTAAAGGTGTTACAGGAAGTTGAATGTTGACCTGATGGTAATGAAGATAAGCTGGAATGTTGGTCTTTAATTAGTGAAGGCTGTAGAAAATGAAGAGAAATTAAAAGAAAAATGTTAGTGATTGTATTATTGTATGAAAGTAAATTTCCTGTTTTAGTTGGTGAAACTGCACCATGGTACAGATTGATGTTGTAAGGAAAAGTTTGTAATATTACTTTAAAGACCTGTATATTAAGCCTAGTTGGTTTAAAAGGAATATAGTTTTGTATGCTAATAAATATATTAATAAATGTTAAAGTACCAAAAAACAGGGTGAGTGGTACAAGGATTAAGACTACATATAAGATCTCAGATAGAATGTTATTGTAAAGTTAACCATAATAACCTTGTAAATACCAGTAGTATACTAAAGAATTAAGGTTATGTAAATGTAATATGCAGTCATATCACTAGGCACATTGACTACATGTGCACCATAAGCTGTTAAACTTTCAAAAATGATTGAAGAGCTGAACAACAATGTATACAACATTTAGTGTAAATTGTGACAAATTAAAGCATAGGGAAAAAATGCATCTCATGGAGATAGGCTCCACCCTTCTATATAATATTGATGAAAAGCAGGTTGTTGGCCTCTACTGTATCTGAGAAAGTGTCAATAATTGTTCAGTTGTGTATATTTAATTGGTATTCTTAAGCATTTGTGTAATGTGATTGTAAGAAAGTAGTGATACTGTTATAACTGGAATATGACCAGTCTGTTAGAATAAATTACTAGCATGGTTTGTTGAAGATTTTCTACCTAGAACAAAGTTCCATGAACCTGTAGATAGTTATGGTACTCTAGCACTAAATTTGTTTCCTGGAATTGGTCACATATAAAGTAGGTTTTAATGCAAGAATACTTTCAGGAACCACCAATGGCAAAGTTTTTTCATGATAAATTCCAACAACTCTGCCATTGGTGGTTCCTGAAAGTATTCTTGCATTAAAACCTACTTTATATGTGACCAATTCCAGGAAACAAATTTAGTGCTAGAGTACCATAACTATCTACAGGTTCATGGAACTTTGTTCTAGGTAGAAAATCTTCAACAAACCATGCTAGTAATTTATTCTAACAGACTGGTCATATTCCAGTTATAACAGTATCACTACTTTCTTACAATCACATTACACAAATGCTTAAGAATACCAATTAAATATACACAACTGAACAATTATTGACACTTTCTCAGATACAGTAGAGGCCAACAACCTGCTTTTCATCAATATTATATAGAAGGGTGGAGCCTATCTCCATGAGATGCATTTTTTCCCTATGCTTCCAAAAGTTGTATGTTAGGATTTAATTAAACATGTTTCCCTGGAAGATTTTTAATAAATATTCAATTTACATCTTATTTTTAAATTATTCCTGACTTCCAAATATCCTATATTTATTAGTACTTAATTTCAAGTACATAAACTTCAAGGTAATATTAAGTAACAAAGTTGTTACATCAAGATTGATAGATCTGGACATTAACACTAACTTAGTCCAGATGTATCAATTAGAACTTATACTAAAACTAGAAGTAACAACTTATTGTTACTTCTAAACTTTAATAATAAAGTTTACAAGTAACTAAGTTATTTCTAGTTTACAAGTTCTAATTGATACATCTGGACTGAGTTAGTGTTAATCTGTCCACATCTATCAATTGTAAAGTACATTAATACTAGATGTAACAACTTTGTTACTTACTACCTTGAAGTCTATGTACTCTTAGATTTCAATGTACATGAAAATCTCTAACTATGGGAATTTTTTCAACTAAAAATAAGAGCCAGAATATGGCTGTAAAGATATCAATTATGCAAATTCTATTATACACCTAATCAGCATTCATTATGCTTAACTAATGTTTACTTCAAGCATTAAACTACACCATATTACAAAATCTAAGTCATAATGAAAACTAACATGTTATGGGTAGTCCCATGACCTTACATTCACACCTATACATTATGATTGCTGAATGTATTTCTCTTCTACCAATTTAATACATTTCAACCAATTCAAGTTATATACATATATTTTCTTTGCCAACACCTCTGCCAACTATTAAATTATGCACTGAGGATGTGTACTAACAATCACTTCTCATGAAACTAGATACAATATTTGTCTACAGATGGACACATCATTACTGATCCTCGTTATTTATGCTATCCCCCACTCAAAGTGTTTGCCCAATTTATAAAGTTTCATTTAAGATGCCTTCGATCAAAAACACTGCACTCCATCACATTGCTTCATCTGTCGTATGATGCTTTAAGTAACGACAATCTCGCCTCACACAATGCAGTCATTTGTCGACATTTTCCATTCATCTCTGAAAAACAAAATTTTTCGTTTATTATTATGGATTTCACATTTCTACATAGTTTCTATCATTCGTGGTTATACAAAACCTTTCATTTTTTTATTACATTCTTACTTTTATGTCAACCCATCTCTACATATACATTCAAATAATACCCTACTCTAATTTACACCTTGTTACAACTCCATCTCCAATATCAATTCACACATCACCTATATGTTAAGCTACACAACATGCATCCTTTGATTTCATACCAGATAAACTTAACAATACCCATTACAAACATTAATTTGGACATTTTCTCTAACCTTTACATTTATTCATATTATATTCTTGATTTTCTAACATTAAGCAAGCATTTAACATGCCATAAACCTGTTAAACACCGTTCTCCAATGTATGCCAACGTCTCTTGTTTCTCTTCATACTACAACTCATACTCTTGTCATTATGACACCTCTCCCATTGAACATTTTACTCATTCCATACTTGTCATCCTCCACTACTCTAAGAGTACCGTGCTTTCTACGTTTTTTCAACATTCACATCAATACCGGGGTAAATTATATTTTCCCCATCCATACATCATTGTAAAGTCTCTCGGCCCCCCCCCCAAGGGTTTTACTCTCGTTATCTCTCTTTAATTTTGTCTCATTGATAGGTATCACCACTTACTGTTATTCATTTATATATCAACTATTGGTTTATTATGCCTACAAACTTTGCCAATTTTCACATTTCACTCGATTGTATAAGTGATTTTTCCCCTTTTTTAAAAGCTGCATCATTATCACATGATAACCTTCAATACATACCATTCTTGAAAAATTTTCTATTTTCTATTGTTGCCGACCTTTTAACCAGTCAATACATCAATACATCCATTTTCGATTCACCATTCACACAAACTAACATTTATCTAACACATCCTCTCCACTAATATTTATGTTTCATTCTTTATTGTGCAATCCATACCCATCCCGTGGGCGGTGGTGGAAAGGGTTACAGAGGCACAATCACTTCACCAAGTGACAATCTTTTGAAGCTAGTCACACATTTGTTAATGTTATATATACATGTACAAATATATACATTCATTAACATCATTACATATTGATATTCTCTTTGTATCAAGCGATTCAACACGACGCTCACAACAGTCGCTATACATCTATGGTGACTCACACATTTACCAATCTTACTACACCCCCACCAAACTCACCAACACCTTTACAGGCATCAGCAGCATTACCTACATTAATCACATTTTGAATGCTTCCCTAAATATTCCTGCCAGTACAGCATTAAGAATGAGGTATTTACACATTTCTTGCACTCCATTCATAATGTTATCTCCAATTTCCGTAAATTTGTCACATTCCATTATATAATGATGCAAACTATGTGATTACTTCTGCAGACACTTTACATTTAAGTCAATTCAACATCAGCTGATGTTCCAAACTCTCACAGGTACTAGTAGCAGAGCCTAAGCATACAGTCACATTTATTTAGTTGTCATAATCAACGTTACAAAAAGCTTCCGACATTTTTGAGCCTTTATTGATCTTATTACAGTTTTTATTCGTTTCTGACTACACTACATGTTTGCATTTTTTCCCCTACTGGAACAACAACAGTCTCCATTATTAACTATTGATTTCTCATCACATTTGCTCATTCATCAATTACTCTAACTAAAATTTACCTTCCCCTCCGCTTATACAATCCTTAAACTCGTTTCCTACTTCACAACCCATATACCTGCTTGGGCTAGCACCATTTCTCTTCACACACCTGATCAACTCTTCTGTGATTCATACATCACACTTCAAGTAGAGCCTTCACATTCCTGGAACACGACCAAACCACAAAGCCTCCTCGGACACCTTCATTCCCTCAACGTGTACTTTCTACAGTACCCAGCTTCTCAATATCATGCGCTCGTGTCGGTCTGAAAGAACACAATAAAACACCAATACAGTCACAGATTATATATATACTGTACACTCAAAAATACAACATTCACATTATAACTGACACATCCATTATACATCATTCACTATACAACATCGATAACCAACCTACACAACTTTAACATTTACTACCATTCCTCGGCACATGTACCCTTAATCTCCTACACATGTATATCTCAGATGTCTGTACATATCCCAGTAGTTTGGGTCCCGGTACTACAGTTGGGTTCCTTCTCGACGCACATTTCAAATTCTCGGTTTCAAGCCTGTCAACAAATGTTTACCCAAATTTCCTTTTACCTCATGCCTCTGTTCACCTACCATTCAATAGGTACTCAGCATTTTGGGGGGGGGGGGGGGGCCTACAGGTGGCTACTTTATTGTGCACCCCATACTCATCCTGTGAGCGGTAGCACAAAAAGCATGACAGAGGGCACAATGGGTCTTACAGACAATGTTCCATTTGAAGAGCTATATATTTACAGTAACTAATAATACATTAATTAATGGTACGTCTTATTGCTAATACATAATGATTTCAGTATTGGACATATTACATTCACAAGGGGGACCTGCTGTTTATTATTAGTCTTCACAATACACTACTTCTTTCTTAATCTCGTATGTCGTTTATCTACTGGGAACGGAATATCGATACAGTCCAAGGATTTCAGGTATTTCATCCTTAGTAATAGGAAGTGTCGTGTGATAAGGCAACCCGAGTTTACATTTCTCTCTAAATGCCTGATTTTTACTACAATCCAAAATATAATGTTCGAGTGTGTCCCTGTCTTTGTCCACACACTTTACTTCATCTACATCCTTATACAACCCAAACTGTCAGATATCTGTAGCCAGGTCTTATTCCAGCTCTGACTATGTCTTAGTCTGCTGATTTTGTTACTTGGTCCATACACAACTTTTACTTTTCACATTTCATTGTGATAAACAATGGGCCTGCTAGTTCCAGTTTGCACTCTTCCGCTTTCAAATTTATCAGAGTTCTCGTCTAACGACACTTAACAGACCTATTTTATCACTCGAGATTCAATTCAACACTCTTTATTTACTGCAACATTACCAAGGGTGTCAACTTTCTCATGTTCCTTCAGGCCAATGTCAGAAGGTATCCACAACATTTTGATATTTACCCGCTTATCAAGTAAGCTTATATATATCTGTCGGCCTTTGGAGACAGGCACGCTATTACTCGATTGCAAACTATTTATTGCTAGTAGTGAGGAAAGACAGTCCAATTAATTAAGCTCTCTACTTCAGTGTTAATAATTTCAAGTGCTATAGTAATGTTACAAATTCACCTTGCATTGTGGATGCCCAGTTGCTAACTCTTATATTCCTTTGCATTGTGCTGCCATTCGGCTGATGAGCAATAACGGCACTTCCTGCCCTCCCTGTAGCTGTATTGAGTGATCCATCAGTGTATATGGTCTGTGCAATGTTGTTGTTGCTTTGTATATTGTGAATAAGTAATTATCAAAAGAAGGTACCAAACCAGGAAGCCTATGTAGCATCACCAAATGTGCTGAATAATCTGAGGCCACTAAATATTACAACAGAAACATACAAGGCGACCGATATGAAAAGTATCCGATCTGCCAAGAATTCTATTCGGGGACAACTGACCGCGAGGGACGGTCGGAAACAACACACGCACGTTCGTCCTGGAAGTCGGGACATTCAACAAGAATGTGTACAACCGTAAGAGGAACAATGCAATTACGACAATAAGGAGCAGGGCGGCGCTCCATTAAGTGACCCCGAGTTAAACGTGTATGAACCCTAGCCACACATACCCTAGCCACAGCCGTTTCCTACCGCCGGTTACGGTGGTACGAGTTAGGCCACAGAGACACACGACTCTTAAGAGTATGTACTTTGTTACCAGTAATAAAAGACCAACAACCCTGCTAACGGCCAAGGATGCAGGAATGAATAACTGGATAAAAGTCGGAATAAGGAATTTCTTTACGGGAGATGGGACAAGTCCTGATAGCATCCTTAGCGGCAGCATCCACACACTCATTTTAAGAGACTCCAACATGGCTGGGAACCCAACAAAATTCCAACGACTTAAATTTACTGGACATAACAAACGGCCAATGTTGAATCTCGATAACCACTGGGTGGACCCGATTAAAGGACCCCAAAGCCATGAGGGCACCACCAGAGTCAACTACCACCACAAAGGAGAATTGACAACGAGAAAACAGAAGAGCATAGAGAATAGCATAAGGTTCTGCTGTGAAGATGCTAGCCTCCAGAGGAAAGCAACACATAAGTGTGCTCAGGAAAAACAACAGAGTAGGCCACACGTTCGGCAGATTTACACCTATCGGTGAAGATGGAAACAGAGTGTGAAGAAATGTGCTCAAGGAAAAGGCATGTCATAACTGTATGAGAAGTAAAAGCTTTAGTGATGTGGATCAGGAAGTACAAAATTTGCGAAAGGGGACCCCTCCACAGAGGGCAAGGACGGAACAATACGAAGAGAAACATTGGTAATAAGAATCGGAAGACACTCTTCTAAGTGAGACAAACGGACAAAGAGTAAGGCGATGAAGAGGAACAGGAACTACAGGAGGCAAAAAGTTAAAGCACGACAGAAGCAGGAGCGAGGATGTTGTAAGGACCGTGCAAGATAGCAAAGACGCTAGTGATCACGGCAGTCCGAGACAGATGGAAGCCAGTGTCAGCGTACAAGCTCAGGGTATGTGTTGAACGAAAGGCGACAACTGAGGTGCAACCCAGTATGGTACAAAGCATCAAGACGGCGAAAAATAGAAGCAGTACAAGAGTATGCAGGGCAACCATAATCGAGTTTACACAGGACGAGAGAGAGCAAATAGAGGAGCGTGCGCCTATCCGCTCCTCAAGAAGTACGGGACAAAACCTTAAGTAGGTTAAGGGCCTCGGAGCACTCAACTCGGTAAGAGATATGGGGCAACCGAGACAAACGAGCGTCAAAGATTAACCCCAAAAGCTTCGCAGATTCTTTGTACACGAGGGGATGACCATAAAGTGACAAAGAAGGATGACATGCTTTCGAGTAAAAGTCATAGCACAAGTCTTAGTTGCAGAGAACTTGAAGCCATGATTGGTGGCACAAGACGACACGGCATCAATCCCAAGTTGAAGCCCCCGTTGAAGGAGAGGCGAATCGTCACCTCGACGGCAAAGAGCAAAATCGTCGACATAAAGAGTGGAGAACATGCCAGAAGGCAGGGAGGAAAGAACACCATTGAGGGCAACCAGAAAAAGAGTAGTGCTTAGAACACTACCTTGGGTACATCTTCGTAATGCCGAAAAGAGGCAGAGGGTGGTACCGAGCCCGACTCGAAAGGAACGATGAGAGAGGAACCTTTGGACGAAGAGAGGGAGATTACCACGAAAAACAAAAGAACAAAGTTGGGACAGAATATGATACAGTATCTCCAGGTAGGGTGGGCCTCACCGCAATTGAGGCACCGAGCCTGGGGAGAAGTGCACTCGGACTTACCGATCGTCAGTCCCACACATAGGGCATACATACACAGTACTTGGGCATTTGAGGACATCATGCCCGAACTTCCAGCACTTATTGCAAAGTCCAGGACAGGGAATGTACTCCTGAACGGGGCATCTGGCACCAGCAAGAATTATAGAGGGCGAAAGAGTCCTACTATCAAAGGTGATTTTCACAACTCGAAGGGGCCGACGGCAACGACCACGAGGGGGTCGAGTGAACGTGTCTATCTGGACGACAGGATGGCCTTGGCCTTCGAGAATGTTTAATATCCTCATGGCAGTCTTTTAGGTCCCTAACACTAGTTGCAACATGATGCAGGAGAAGTGTCAACACTGGCATTTAACAGTGTTTTTAGAGACCCAAACAAGGGTCTCCCCAATGCAGGATAATGCGGCTAAGTGGGTAGCTGCATCCAGTGAAGGAGCAGCGACGACACGTGTACCTAAATGGGTAGGGTTAAAAGTAACGGAGGCATCCACCGAATCAAGGTGGTGTTTATGGAGTGAGAAATCGTCACGAGGTGTAGATTCCAGACCGAGATCAAAGTATTTACACCACGAAGCTGGACCAAACAAGGCTCAGTATGTATTAGTATGGGAAAGGATTGTGTAAGTGCGGCCATGGCGGGGACGGCGTTGAGAGCCCCCAGAGGGTGGTTAAAAGGTGCAGTAGTCACAATGAGAGTGAGCTGCGCCAGGGGACGAGGTGGTCACCGCTGGGGGCGTATAGCTTGACCCAACCACAGAGTAGAGAGGGAAGCCGGGGGAAGTAGTTAAGAGGGTCAAAGGAGGATCTAGGTCTGGGCCCAATGTAGCGGGGCTACAGAGTCCGCTCTTCCAACACGGTTTGACTCGTGGGCTTCGTCACCCACCACACGAGCCTCAGAAATCATAATAGGAACAGTATTTATCTACCCAGGAAACGAGAGCTAATACTTTCGTTCACAAATGTGCCCCCACACCCACCACAGAGCCACAATTAGAGGCAGGACACCAAACAAGCGACGTGTCGCCAGTCTTGCCAGGGACCCCCAGGGGTGCGTCGTGAGTCTACACCCCACAAACGCCACCTTAAGAACCGTCAGTCCGTCGAGATTGGGTTCAGCGACGAAAGGAAGATTGACAATAAAAGGGTCCCCTCACTCGAGACATTAAGTACTACGGGTGAGAGAGTATGCCTCCTCAAACACCCGAGAATCAAAACAGAAGTAGTCCGAAAGAATAGTCAAGACTGGCAAAAGGTTGGCAGGAAATGACTATGAGAAAGGACAAGAGGGGGGGAGAAACACGAAACACAAGGAAAAAGAGAGTTCTGGCACAATTGGTAAAGGCAGCAGCAGGAGAATAAGGCTTCAAAAGGACAGAGGAGTGACCCATGGAGCATCACACTCCGGCAGCCGTCCACCAAGACTTCCTCACAAAGAAACGCAAGGAAAAAGGAAAAAGAGAGTTCTGGCACAATTGGTAAAGACAGCAGCAGGAGAATAAGGCTTCAAAAGGACAGAGGAGTGACCCATGGAGCATCACACTCCGGCAGCCGTCCACCAAGACTTCCTCACAAAGACGACGAGCCAGAAAGGGAGGGGGTTGTATATTTGTGACTGTGTTCTATGGTGTTTATTTTGGCAGCAAGCTGAGCATGAGGGTTGTTTGTGATTAGTTTCTTGGTGGGGTATGCAGACATCAGGATGTCAAAAGGTACTATCTGCCAGGGTGGAAGGAAGTGCTGTACTCTTTCATCTGTACATACATCGTGCAGTCCCATCATTTTCATTTGAGTGCCTGTTCTTTGAATCCATTTACACTCGCTGGTTCCATTTCGTACGTATTCTAACAGTTCAACTGATACAAAGTTGTTTTTGTTATCACACAGAAGCTTTAGTTCCACCATAAGATTTACTTCAAATATTCTATCTTGAATGCTAAGTATATTTAATTCTTACCGCATTTTGAGAACTTTGGTATTTATACGACAGCCAAGTACAGTTCAGAGTGCTTCATTTTGCATTTTTTCTAGTCTATTTGGCCATTTTGAATAACTAAAGGGCCATAACGTAGAATATTATAAGTTGTTCAAAGTCAACCAAATTTTTTTGACTAGTTGTATATGAAAAACGCTACAACTGTTCCAAGTTTCAGTATCACAACCTAAATTGTAGGGAATTTTTTTTTTTTTTTTCCCAAAAGATTTTTCAACATTTCCACATTTTCACTACAACCACAAGTTTCAAATTAACTAATTTCTATGACACTCATCTATCACATTAGCATATAATCAAGGATTTGTCAAACCGGATTATCAAACATATGTTTAGTTTTACTAATACATATAGTCAAACTTCCCAAAATTATTATGAACATGTATCATGTTTATAAATATTTATAACATCAATAAATGAACTTAGGAATACAGTGTTTAGAAAAATCGTAGACACAAAATCTATATACAAGGTGTAGGTTTCATGTAAATTCAATAACAAATGAAAGTAGTCACTTTTACGCTACTTGAAAAGAAATAGTCTAATTTGCAACCTGTGGCTGAGGTTGACATCAACCAATTTCCTCCAAAATTGGAACCCTTACAGAAAGGCTTACATGCAGTCCTGTGTACAAGTGTCATGCAAATTGCCCGATAAACAAATCAAGACAATTACAGAAAAACTAAATTTTTTGGATACAACTATTTATTAGATGTTTTATTATATGCTATTGTGATAGCTGACAGTTATAGACATGACTTCAGTTAACACTTGTATTTCATGTTAATTTTTGAACATTGTGGAAATTTGTTGATATTTAAAAAATGTTCCTCCCTTCCTATTTATATTACGATGCTCAGACTTGTACCATTTGAAGTCCTTTTCATATGCAACTATTCAAAAAGTTTAATTAAAATCAAACCAGTTTTCATTTATTGCATATTTTGCCATATTTGTAAGTTATGGCCCCTAAAACGGGTGCATGTTTGTGTGGCTGCATCCTGGGCAGGATCATTCATTCGGCCTTGGGGAGGGATGGGGGGAGGGGGGGCATCGATATAAGCAAAATGTGTACAACTACAGTCTGGCTTCCTGTCCCCCGACAGTTAATTAAATAGCATTTGTTTAACATTTACTCTGCGAAGGTCCAAAATTACACTAATTAATAATTAAGATGAAAGGCCTGAACTTTAAATATTGAAATTGTAAAAAGTTATTAACCAACACTAGTGGACGTTTTCAAGCAACTTCTCACAAACATAAAACCAGCCAATAGTATTTCTCAACAAAAGTAACTAATTGGTGACAAACAAAATGCTGGTAATATATTTAATTAGGCAAGGTAATGTGATATGCACAGAAACCACTTACCATAACGTCATAGCATTTTGAAGGGATGTGTGGACAAGAAGCTCGGATACCAAGATTGAGTGAACGAACAGACACCATTCCACTTGCACCATTGTGGATCGAACATCAACCTGCAAGGAACAAGCCCACTGCTGTACCAACCAGTCAAAATGGACAACTAAACCTTCCATAACCTCACCAAAGTAGGTTAGATGAACAGTGAGTGGTAGTGTACTGAAAGAAAAAAAAATCAATCTGTAGTTCCTCAAAATACGAAACAATTCACAATACTTATTCAACCACAGTAGTTGTCTTTAACTAATATGACAATTGGCACACCTTATTTAACTACATTATAAATACATTCTCAAATATTTGTACAGATTTCCACTCCTTACTGAAGGGCTTTACACATTACCTATCATGGACATTTTGCTGAGCACTCCTTAGTCAGACAGGTGGTTCCACAGGTCACTGTAGTCTGACTCAAGTTAACCGTCATCCTTTAATTAATTTGGAGTTGCTGCTGGAGCAGTACGAGCTGCTGGTGCCGACTGATTCTGTAAAACATGTTTATTGTCAATAATATATTATTTTCACATTAAATGTACAAACTCGTTTAATCCTTAATAGCGTAACACAATCAGCAGCTTCTTCACACCCCGGACAAAGGGGTGTGAAGAAGAGAACTTGTAACACGTGGTGTGGTGTGTTAAGTGTGGAACTTGTAACACGTGGAGACTTGTAACAGTCTCCGTGGTGTAGTGGTAAGACACTCGCCTGGCGTTCCGCGAGCGCTATGTCATGGGTTCGTATCCTGGCCGGGGAGGATTTACTGGGTGCAATTCCTTAACTGTAGCCTCTGTTTAACGCAACAGTAAAATGTGTACTTGGATGAAAAAACGATCCTTCGCGGCAGGGGATCGTATTCCAGGGACCATAGAATTAAGGACTTGCCCGAAACGCTACGCGTACTAGTGGCTGTACAAGAATGTAACAACTCTTGTATATATCTCAAAAAAAAAAAAAAAAAAAAAAAAAAAAAAAAAAAAAACTGTAGGGCGTGATGTAGTGTTGATGTCAGCGGATCCTTGGCGACGCCAGGTAAAAATGATTATTAATAACAACTGTATTGACAACATTATTTACAATTTTGCCTAATCTGAGGATTTCAATTAAGTCTTATTAAAGTGAGGATAATGCTGGTATTGACTGTCACGCAGGACTGAGGGTCATACACAAGACAACAGGTATAAACTGTAGGCGGAAGCACACGTATATAATGGTTACAATCAATGTTTTAATGTATGAATGTATGTATGAATACATATGAAGTTCATATGTATGAATATGTATGAATTCATTCTTTAAAATGGACAAGCAAATTTTGGATAAATTGTTAGGATATCGTCCAGAACACCTGAGTCAATGAAATGGCAAAGTCAAATGTGGACCATTTTGATGGTCAGTTGGAGATATTTTGTCAGTGCTTTGACTATTGGATATTTTTCATATAATGAGAGGGCCCCTCCTCCTAATATATGTTTGATGGTAAAAGGTGTTTTAAGAGTGCTAAATACTTGTTCGAAATTACTCCGGCACGATGATGTCGAAAACTGTGAAGGAGATATATATGGGTAGATGTGAACGTATATTAATGACCTTCCAAATGCCTCCCAACACCTCAAACCAATTCTATTTGCTGACGACACAACCTTCATTTACTCCAGTCCTGACCCTCTTGCTCTAAATGCCACAGTAAATACTGAGCTAAATAAAGTCCATCTTTGGCTAACTGCCAACAAACTCACCCTTAACATTGACAAAACCTTCTATATTCTGTTTGGCAATAAATCCTCTAGTCTTATAAATCTCAAAATAAACAATACCCAAATTTGTAACAAATTAGATGGCAAATTCCTTGGCATTCTCATTGACCACAAGCTGAATTTCCAGGGACACATTCTAAATATATCTAAAAAAGTTTCAAAAACTGTGGGCATTCTTTCTAAGATCAGATATTATGTACCACGCCCTGCCCTGGTGACTCTCTATTACTCCCTTATCTATCCTTATCTCAACTATGGTATTTGTGCTTGGGGTTCTACTACCCAAAATCACTTACGTCCTCTAATTACCCAACACAAAGCCGCTATTAGAACAATATCCAACTCTGGCCCCAGACATCACTCGGTACCCCTACTCAAATCTCTTAATATGTTAGATATTAAGTCTCTGCACATTCTCTCATGTGTATTATACATATATAAAACGCTAAACTATAATGCCAATCCTGATCTTAAAAGCTTCATAGTAGGTTGTAACAGAACCCATGAGCACCACACCAGAAATAAATACAGTTTTGATATTCCTAGAGTACGTCTTAATCAAACTAGAAATGCTCTGCAAATCAAGGGGCCCAGAATGTGGAATGACCTTCCCAACCATGTTAAAGACTGTACCTCTCTCAACCAGTTTAAGATAAAAACTAAACACTACCTAATAAATTCCCTGTAATCTACCTCACTCCTCTATTGTCAACCCATGTCTGTTATTTTTTTTTTTTTTTTTTTTTTTTTTTTTTTTTTTTTTTTTTTCTTTTTTAATCAACACTGTTTGTCAACCTATTGTATTTGTGCTGCTTGTTCAGTCATGTTTCCCCCTTTTTTTTATCTTTATTTGTATTTGTTCTCAACATCTTTTATTCTTTATGCTCAATTAGTATTAAGTTCTAGATATTAATGTTTTCTTGCCCGAAACGCATTGCGTAATAGTGGCTTTAGGCATTGTATGTACTAGATCTATCTATATATCAATCCATTAATGTAACATCACTTGTATGTATATACCTTACCTGAATAAACATCTGAATCTGAATCTGAATCTGAAATGTAAGGGGGCCATTTGAGTGGAAATTAAAAGTTGTTCAATCTCAACCAAAATTTTTTGACTAGGTGTATATGACTGCAATTGTTCAAAGTTTCAGTACTGCAGTCTAAATAGAAAGGGAGATTTTTTATTTATTTTTTTCAACGAATATTACACATTTTCAAGTAGGTTCAAACCTTTCACCTTTTCAGATATAATTATTCTATGACACTTTTCTGACACATTAGCATATAATAAAGGATCTGAAGCTGAGGATTTCCCAAAACATCTTTAGTTTTCCTAATACAAATAGTCAAAGTTCCCCCCAAAAAATTATGCACATAATTTGCACAAACATGTCAAGTTTACTGCTATTATAAAATCAATAAATGAACTTAGGGAAACAAAACGGTTTCAGATTTTAGAGACAAACTTTACATGTAAGGTTTAAGTTTCATGTAAATCGAATAAAAATGAAAGCATTTGAAGTCGTTTATGTTACTTGAAAAATAAATCATTAAAATATAAAGTCTAAGGCACTGCCATCTGTGGCCGAGCTTGACATCAACCAATTTTTCTCCAAAACTGGCACCCTTACAGATAGGCTTACGTGAAGTCAGGTGTACAAATTTCATGCAAATCGTCCGATAAACAAATAAGAAAAACAAAAAAAATAACTACATTTTGTTTTAATAAAACCATTTAAAATTTGCTTTTAATATTTGCTATTGTTATACTGTAGCTGAGAGGCATAGACATGATTTCAGTTGACACTTGTGTTTGATCATTGTTTTTGACCATTTGGGAAAATTTTTGACAATTCAATATTTTTTCTCCCTTCCTATTTATGCTACAATGCTGAGACTTAGACCAGATGAAACCCTTTTTATATACAACTCGTCAAAAAAGTTTGATTGAAATCAAACGAGTTTTCATTTATTGTATTAAACTCCCATTGGGCCCCTTAAGGAATTGACAAGTAATAAACGCGAGGGTAGGTAAATGAGGAGGGTCTTTCAGCAGGGATTGAGGGTGCCAACGGATGTGTGGGGGTAAGGAAGCGAGGGATGGCCCCACACTCTGCATTACGCAGCCTCTCTCTACTGAGAGTGGTCGTAACGACCTCAGCTCCCGCGTTTAACATGTGGCGGTAGGCTAATGTTTCTAATACAAAACAAACTATTTCCATACCTCTTTCACCCACAACACAACAATAATATAGAGCAGCCTAGCCAACGACAAGAAACAAGTTTGCACCTATCTTGTAATGATAAACAAAAAGTAATGTTTCTATCGAAGCTTACTGCATACAAAATACAACTGTTTAAACTACCCTGTACTATGATCCACCATGGAGTGCATATGGGGTGCATAATAAAGTAGTCATAAGTGCCACTGCCAGCTGTAGAGGGTGGGGGCCTGGTGTGTCTAATCTCTCAACTGTTGGATGGGGCCATTAGTGGTGGTGTGTGTGGTTTGGCTACACAGCTATGTGCTCACTCTCACAAACGTGGGCTAGCATCTGTGTTTGATCTGATGAAGACCTGACACTCTTCCGTTATTGTTAAGTTTTAAATCGGCAGCCTACTGATGCGTTTGTGAACAGTCTCTCTACTCTACAAATGATCAGAAATAATGCTAAAGCCTTTTGCACAGAACAACCAGTCTATCCAACTATCTATCCTAGTGATGCTGATGGAGGTAGGGGAAGTGTGGAGTGTTGGTTGGTGGAATGGGGTGGGGAGGATGGGGGGGGGGGGGGGGTAAGAACATCCCAAATACCTCACTCACCTCAGTGCACCTCAAACCCCCCACCCAAGATGGCAGTACTGGCAAAGTTCATGGGTTTGATCTAATATTACATATATTCATTTAATAGTGGAAACACCTAACTGTTACCTGCAAGTCTCCTAGTGCTGCTGGCCCAGGTGAGTACAACTAGGTGAGCACACAGCGCAAGTTCCCTCGCAATCCAGCCACCCCGCTCCCTTCACTGTTATTTCCCACGGTACATTTTCAAAGCCTGCTGCGGCCCATCCCCTATATCCACCAATCGACAACCCTAATCTAACCTACCCCATACTGCACCTGGTCTCCTACGCCTGTTGATGCAAGAATCCCTCCCCTCTCACTCACGCCACCCCCTCCCCCACTCAGAGCGAGAAAGGACACACACACACACACCGCCCCACCGGTATATCTTTCTCCCTCCTAACCCACTCACTCGTCCCACACACCTACTCCACATGCTTAGATCTCCTACCTCCCACACTTAGATCTAATGGCCCTATGCTTAACTCTAAGCATACATGCACACTTATACGACTCTACACTGGCAAAACACACGCTTTCAACACCTACCCTTACTATCACTTCAACATACACACCTACTACACATGTGCATATGTTCACCCTATCCTAACCATACACCACATTAAACACACGGGGACGTAGAACGTGCGAGCGTAGAACCTCATGAGCTGGGATGGATCACCCCACCTCACCTGGACCGGTGCGCCACAGGTGGCTCACCTGCCCAGGTGGTAGTGCAAGGTCTACATCACAAACTTCCCTACTCCCCCCCCATCCAATTACTTGTTTCGAATTGCATGACATTCAGCACGTCGTCATCTTTGTAATATCGCTGCTGTGCACGGCTCCATCTTTAATAATTGAAATTTTTAATTATCAACTTCAGAACACTCAGTTTAACAGAACTCCCCTTACTTCATTATACACAATCAAATGAAACGGTACATGCAGAATGATTGAATGATGAAGATTAAGCCACCCAAGAGGTGGCACGGGCATGAACAGCCATAAAGGTACAGACAATCTGGAGCAGTCCTAAATAATGGCTATGATCGGGAATGACCGATCTATGAATATGATCTATGAATGCAATGAATGTGTAAGTGAGGAGCTTTTACATAATGGATCCCTGGTATTATGTGCAATGATTGGTATCACTTATAATCATCGATTCATTCCCCAGGAAAACTCGACGCAAGCAACTGAGGCAAGGTAATTACGAGAGCGGTAATTAAGTTAGACTTGTCAGTCTCACTATATAGCATTTGGAAGGGATAACAAACTCGAGCAGGACGGGAAGGGAAGAATTTGCTGCCTAACCATTTGAGTCACCAGGAATCGAACGCAGACCTGCAGGTAGCGAGGCCTCGGCTGTACCTACGAGTCCTTGTGGACGGACAACCCCCTGACTGACATCCATTCAAAATATAATTAACAAGTTCATAACACTAATTTGTCCTGCTAAACTATGCACCAACTGGTATGCATGATAATTAAAGACATCCCTCTCTTTAAAGGCACCACTGTATAATTAAAGAGCAATCTGGGGATCTGGGAAGGTAAAATAAATCGCTGGCCTGTAGAGAGGGGGTGCTGCGCCGGATCCCCAAGTCTAGGGCTGCCCGCAGCTACTTACCATATGTCAAGTGCTCACTTGTAGTGCAAGTTGGGGGTTGCAGACTTTACATGTAAACCAGGCACTAGCATATCATTACCCCTGGAAATTCTTATCTATTCTTTTCTATGCCCTCTGTGTATACAGATTATTTTTTATACATACTGTACTGGCTGTGCCACTCAATTAACTCTGGCATTATTTTTAATTATAGTATTAAGCTGATTGCGAGTACTGCAACATTGCTTCGGCTAGCTGGCACTAGGCACGGTTAATGTCCTATGACTTATTCCCTTAGTTGCATCTTTGCAGTACTGGCATTCTACTCAGGCATGTTACACAACATCTTTTATATTGTGGTACACCAGTTGCTCTGTAAACATTATATAATAAATTAAGGTCCCCCCACTCCTGGCTTGTTTTTTCTCCCCGATCAGAAATATTACGCAGTTCAATCCTTTCAGTCATATTTGAATTCGAGAGCAATTTCGATCAATCTAATCTCATTAATATATATTTATGGCTGTAACCATCTAATATATATAGACTACATGACATTCCTCAAAATAAATTTGCTAACTATAATACCTACTAAACAAATTAAGCATATAATTTAAACAAAATTAACCGTAAAAATGTTTAGTAAGTTTAACATTAATATTTTCTATAAAATACGATACATGTCTCTCCTAGGTTCAAGTCCAAGCTTGGAGGCCAGACATTTAAGGTTAACCTCGCCAAACTTTGCAGGGTTAGGGGGAAACCCAGGGTTGGGTGTAGGGGGAAACCCAACATATTTCCTAAATATCCGATGGCTTTGTTTATAGTTATTAAATAGTTAATGAGCTCCGAAGCACCAGGAGGCAGTTTATAACAATAACAGTTGATTAGGACGTTTTCATGCTGGTAAACTGTTTAATAAATGTAACCAAAGCCGTCAACAACTGACAAAAGACATACGTTTGTAAGTACAGTACTTGCCTAACTGCTTTGTGAATCTGGCCCCTGATTCTTGTAGTCCAAGATGGCAGCGAGGCCGGAGAAGCAGTGATCACGATACAACACACTGTCTACCATCTTGATGATGATGGTGGTGATGTGGGTGCCATCGTCCAGTCAAGCAGCCAGCAGGCGGTGACCACAGCGGGTATTGACAACCCGTGACAGGTGAATCTCCCTCACCTGCCAACACAAACCAGTCATTATATAAATGGTTAAATGACGGCTAAAATGCTCGTTAATCCAGAAGTCATGACTCGTTTATGAAAAAATGACTTTACACACGATTCTTAACTCTTAACATCAGGATTTCCTTAAAATTGCTATCTGTTCATTCCATGTTCAAATCACATCTCTAAATGTTCCATCCACATACTACAAATACAAAGAATTACCAACAAATTATACCTATTGCCTAATAAACAACTATAAATCGAGAGAAAAATAATACATTACAAACTGCTCAACCAAAAAAAAAAAAAAAATCGCCCAACAAAAAATGGCTTGATCCAGCACAACTAAATACAGTAAACAATATAACTAGAGATAGATATATAGATAGATATAGATAAAGTGCGCATAATTCGGGTATCAGTAAAATCTATAAACTGAAAGTCATTGAGGTATCAAATAAGGTTATAGAATTACCTTTGTTCAAAACAACTTTTGAAAAAATTATGTCAAAGTTCATCTGGATAAAATTTGCATAAACAAATTTGGTTGTGCATTAATTAACAATCTCTAGTTTGTATTTCTTGTCTGAAATGTAGATGCCAGTTCGATACATTTCTGGCATTTAACCCAGAATCTATAAACAAATTTCTGTTTAACTTTTTTTTCCCCAAGTTTAGTTTAGTTCATTTATTATGCACCCACACCCATCTTGTGGGCGGTAATGGAAAGGGTTACAGAGGCACATAATGGGCTCAGGGACTGAACCCCACAATTCATTTAGCTAAAAAAGTTATTCTTGATGAGCTAGTTACAAAATTCAGCATAAGTCATCACATTATCAATATACTGTAAAGTTCAAAGTTATGGTAAGGTTGAATATCCACTGAATGGCATGTTGCTTTCTGCTCATAGTTCCCCTCCCTTCCCACTGAAAATATGTTGAGGGTGTTAAGCACCTCTTAAGTAATGTGAGAGGATTAATCTATATAATGCACAAATTCTCTATTATACCTGTTTACTCTAAATATTTCCTTATTAATTTAATATAGAAGATTAATGTGATTTTCACTGAGGTACAGAACAATTTTACCACTTCTGAACAATGTACCGAAATGAAACGACCATAATGTAGCACCACAGTACTGCTAGCTTCAAATTGTACAAAAATGGTACAATTTTACCACAGGTGGCAACATCGGGACTAGAGGTCTGCCGTAACTTGACATTGCTAAACGAACACTTGCAATATATCCCAGAACCTTACTAAACCTTTTAGTATATTCCACTGCCGTATAAAACGTCATCTATTTTCATCGGTATATCCAGGAGCCTTACCAACCTGTCTTCGTGGTATGTTCAAAGCCTAATTAAACCAATTACCCAGCCAAACCTTGCTTAACCTCGTGCATACAGCAATAAGCGTCTTATTTTTCCTCTCATTGTTGCTGATAAGTTATAACTAACATTTACAACAAAATGCATAGACCAAACACGTATCTACAGCTCGATGCATCAATCCACTCAACTCATAACTACAGGTACAGCTAAATGCATCAATCAACCCAGCGTCACGTATCGACAACTTAATGCATCGATAAATCAATCTAACACGTACCTACAGCTAAATGCATCAATGTCCCCGAAGTACACAACACCACAGCTGCCACAAAATGCATTACACAGATGCACACACACACTCACCGTCCATAACCGCCGGCAGTGGTTCCTCGGGCAAACAGTCCGGCCCCCGCATATCCCAGTCGTTGTAATCCAAGATGACAAGTGATGCTGGAGAAGGAGCGACTATAATCAAACATGGAGGAGACCACCACCACCACCATCAACATGGCCATCTTGCCGGTGTCGTCGTCCAGAGTCACGGTGGCGGCGACCTCAACACTAACGATCCATGCCATAGTTCACGCTCCCTCACCTGCCGGAAAAGAACCATTTGATTATTTTTTAAAGACACTCCGCTCTACATTAATAATTACTGCATATCGTCAACAAAATAGTCGTATAAATATTCGGTGTTGTAACTGTTCTTTTTAGGAACTAAATATACTTCAGACATGACCCAAAATGGACTGCTTTTTCAGTGTGATTCACTCGATTGTTTTGAATGTTCGAAGCTGTTTTCTCAAAACATGCTTCACTCAACCGGATTTGCATCTACATCATCAGGAATGGCTAAAGTTTTATACTGGAGGACCATATATTACAGCCTATCACCCAAAAATTTGAGTACTTATACAGTCTATGGATGTTACGTGCAAAATATGGCCCGAGAAGGAACAGCCAAACCCTAACCTTCCCAGTATGGTTTGGGTCGTTAGTAGCCACCGCCTTGTCACCTGTATACCTGAATGGCAGGAAGGAGTATATGAAAGGATGAGGCTAAGGCCATGATGATAAATGATTCTTATCTAAGCAATGATGATTAGTGGAGCGTGTGAAAGGTAACTATGCTATTAGTAAACGAACATTTATGGGTCGCCATGGAGGCAGCCGCTTCAATGACCACAACAATAACCGTTTATAACCCGTAGTTTATATGTGGATGCTAAACAGATTCTAACTTATCTCTCGCGTCTTGAAGGAAGATCAGAGGCAGGATTGATGCAGTTAACTCACAGATTACTCGGTATATTCCAGGTGGGAGGATTAGCGCTACTCAGCACACGTCCGTCCGTCACTCCAGAGGGAGGCATACTGACCGCTGCCTCCTCCACCCACCAGGGACCCCACACCGGTTTCGACTCCATTCGTACATAACTTTCGGGTACCGTCTGGTCGGTACACAAATAATCAGTTCGTTGACCAGACCACACACTAGAAAGTGAAGGTACGACGACGTTTCGGTTAGTCTTGGACCATTCTCAAGTCGATTATAAAATCAGTTCGCTCAGAGACAATTACATACAGTAACCCTTTCGTACACACTTTAAGGGCTAGCTTGTGTCCCTTGCTGTTCTCGTCGTCCAAGGCAATAATATAACCAAAGTGAGACGATGGAATTTGCTAATAAATTAATGCGAGTAATCAGATGGTACAAGATAATAATATATAATAATAATGGCCGACCAGCCACATGCCTGAAGCTTGACAAGCCATAAACTTCCAGCCAGCCGGGCACTGGTCGAATCGTATATAACCATAACCGTTTCGGAGGGCGTCGGTTCGGTATACAAAATTCCAGTTCGTTCACAAACAGTTTGTATTCAGGAACCCTTTTGTATACACGAGGTGTAGACAAAAACGCAAATATAAAACACATATGCGCTGGCGCGTGTTCGCTTCGGTTCTCGTCTTCGAAGATAAAATGCCCAATAGAAATTGAAAATAAATTAAAATTGTGAATAATAAGATGGCATATAAGTATTATATTATAATAATACAGAAGTATTTTTCAGATATGCGAGACGATTTATCCTTATACAATTGAATGAATTAAACAAGTTTGTCTTAACATCTTTCATATTGTAAAATCAAATCAAAATATCTACAGTAAAATTATTATAGGTAAATGCCCGAAACGGTGTGCATATTAGTAACTTTTGGCATAATATGTACTAGCTTTATCTAGAAGTCCAACATTCTGCTTGTAACTTTTTGAATGTATTTAATTTAATCAGAATAAACATTACTATTATTATTATTATTATTAATGAACAAATCCACAAGGACCGTGACGAGGATTCGAACCTGCGTCCGGGAGCATCCCAGACACTGCCTTAATCGACTGAACTACGACAGGGTAAAAGACACCCCCCGGAGCCCGACCAATAACGTAACCGGGGCCTGACCAGTTGTGTAAATAGACCCCGACCAGTTGTGTAACCGCAAGCCTAGCATGAACAAACTGTACAAACAACATTTGAAGCACAAATATACACGAACCGTAGCCCTAATACGCACAACCCGAAGCCCAAATGACCCTCCTGGAGCTCCACCAGTTGTGTAACCGGAGCCACACCAGTTGTGTAACCGGACCCCGACCAGTAGTGTAACCAAAGCCCCAACAGTTCTATAACCGAAGCCCTACCATTTGTGTAACTGAAGACTCACCAGTTGTGCAACCGAAGCCCAACCAGATATGTAACCGTATCCCGACCAGTTGTGTAACCGCAAGCCTAGCATGCACGAACCAAACAACCTCTGGATCACAACCATGTATGAACCGAAGCCCGACCATGCACAACCCGAAGCAATAGTGACACACCCGGAGCCCGACCAGTTATTTAACCGGAGCCCGACCAGTTGTGTAACCGAAGCCCGACCAGTTGTGTAACCGGAGCCCGACTAGTTGTGTAACTGAAGCCCCACCACTTGTGTAACCCAAGCCCCACCACTTGTGTAACCCAAGCCCCACCACTTGTGTAACCCAAGCCCCACCAGTTGTGTAACCGAAGCCCCACCAGTTGTGTAACCCAAGCCCCACCAGTTGTGTAACCGAAGCCCCACCAGTTGTGTAACCGAAGCCCGACTATGCACAACCCGAAGCCCTAGTGACACACCCGGAGCCCGACCAGTTATTTAACCGGAGCCCGACCAGTTGTGTAACCGAAGCCCGACCAGTTGTGTAACCGGAGCCCGACCAGTTGTGTAACCGGAGCCCCACCAGTTGTGTAACCGAAGCCCCACCAGTTGTGTAACCGAAGCCCTACCAGTTGTGTAACCGAAGCCCCACCAGTTGTGTAACCGAAGCCCCACCAGTTGTGTAACCAAAGCCCCACCAGTTGTGTAACCAAAGCCCCACCAGTTGTGTAACCGAAGCCCGACCATGGACAACCCGAAGCCCTAGTGACACACCCGGAGCCCGACCAGTTATTTAACCGGAGCCCGATCAGTCGTGTAACCGGAGCCCGATCAGTCGTGTAACCGAAGCCCCACCAGTCGTGTAACCGAAGCCCCACCAGTCGTGTAACCGAAGCCCCACCAGTCGTGTAACCGAAGCCCCACCAGTCGTGTAACCGAAGCCCCACCAGTCGTGTAACCGAAGCCCCACCAGTCGTGTAACCGAAGCCCCACCAGTCGTGTAACCGAAGCCCCACCAGTCGTGTAACCGAAGCCCCACCAGTCGTGTAACCGAAGCCCCACCAGTCGTGTAACCGAAGCCCCACCAGTCGTGTAACCGAAGCCCCACCAGTCGTGTAACCGAAGCCCCACCAGTCGTGTAACCGAAGCCCCACCAGTCGTGTAACCGAAGCCCCACCAGTCGTGTAACCGAAGCCCCACCAGTCGTGTAACCGAAGCCCCACCAGTCGTGTAACCGAAGCCCCACCAGTCGTGTAACCGAAGCCCCACCAGTCGTGTAACCGAAGCCCCACCAGTCGTTTAACCGAAGCCCCACCAGTCGTTTAACCGAAGCCCCACCAGTCGTTTAACCGAAGCCCCACCAGTCGTTTAACCGAAGCCCCACCAGTCGCGTAACCGAAGCCCCACCAGTCGCGTAACCGAAGCCCCACCAGTCGCGTAACCGAAGCCCCACCAGTAGCGTAACCGAAGTCACACCAGTTGCGTAACCGAAGCCCCACCAGTTGCGTAACCGAAGCCCCACCAGTTGCGTAACCGAAGCCCCGCCAGTTGCGTAACCGAAGCCCCGCCAGTTGCGTAACCGAAGCCCCACCAGTTGCGTAACCGAAGCCCCACCAGTCGCGTAACCGAAGCCCCACCAGTCGCGTAACCGAAGCCCCACCAGTCGCGTAACCGAAGCCCCACCAGTCGCGTAACCGAAGCCCCACCAGTTGCGTAACCGAAGCCCCACCAGTTGCGTAACCGAAGCCTCACCAGTTGCGTAACCGAAGCCTCACCAGTTGTGTAACCGCAAGGCTAGGTCTACTAAGACTGTAGCTGATGCGCTGTATTATGAATTATTGCATCCAGGCATGGAGACCTCATCTTCAGAAAGACATAGCTACTTTGGAGCCATGTCTCAGAGCTATGGAGCTATCTATGTCTTACGACAAAAATCATACCAGAGCTAAGTCATCTCTCGTATAAGGAACGGTTGAGGGCCACAGGACTAACACCACCACAAACCAGGCATGACAGGGCAGACTTCATAGAAACCTTTAAAATACTAAACAATTTGGAGGATGTCGATCAGGACAATGTCTTTAAAAGATCAGATGTTACACGAACAAGGAGCAACGGGTTCAAACTCGACAAGCCAGAATGTTGGACAGGAAACAGGAGATGCTTTTTCACCCATAGGGTTGTAAACTAGTGGAACCGCTTACCCGCCGAAGGCGAAAACGCCAAATCTCTGCTGGGATTTAAAATACAGCTGGAAAAGATCATCAGGGCAAATGGGGGGACCTTTGACAAGCCGCCGGCTTACTATCCTCATCGAGGCCACTAGTGTTAGTGGCTCTCAGGTAAATTCAGTTCCTGGAGGGGTGTCCCCGCTCCTTCCCGTTGGGAAGTTGTTCAACTTCCAACCAACGGAGCTGACAGTCCCGTGGTGCAGTGGTTAGACACTCGCCTGGCGTTCCGCGAGCGCTATGTCATGGGTTCGTATCCTGGCCGGGGAGGATTTACTGGGCGCAAATCCTTAACTGTAGCCTCTGTTTAACTCAACAGTAAAATGTGTACTTGGCTGCAACAACGATTCTTCGCGGTGGGGATCGTATTCCAGGGACCTGCCCGAAACGCTACGCGTACTAGTGGCTGTACAACAATATGTAACAACTCTTGTATATATAAAAAAAAAAAAAAAAAAAAAAAAAAAAAAAAAAAAAAAAAAAAAAAAAAAAAAAAAAAAAAATCCTTTTCTGACCAGGGGGAGAAAGATACTGGCAGTATGGGGCGTTAAAGTTTATTGAAGATTAAATTCTGCAGAACATGTAAATATATAAAGTTCACATAAAGTAAGTAATTATATAAAGTTTATATTAAACACGGTTTATATTATAGACTTAACAAAGTTGATATTATATAAAACTTAATATTGAACATGTAAATATACAAAGTTTCAAATATAATTTAAGGAATATATAACGTTTATATTAAAATATATAAAGTAAATATATAAAGTAAATATATAAAGTAAGAATTAACAGTAACAATTCCAAGGACTAGATTTAACTTAAAAGGTACACCCGTAGTAAGTATGAGACCTTAGCCTATAGTGACATGGAAACTAATTCTGCAGAAACCTAAAGGTTAACTGGTACTAGAATTAAGGCCGAGTGCAAATGTGTAGTAATTATATAACACTAGGATATAACAGGCAGGACACAAAGAATAACTAATAAGTGAGAGACCACATAACACGTAATGTACCCGGCCAAGAGGCCGTAAAAGACCTAATGGATAAGGAGAAGGGGGTGTGACTACAAGTAGGGCTTACTAGCACCTAGACTGGGCAAAGTATTAGCTGCGGACAGCGGGACACTTGGGGACCGGCGCTGCACCCCCCTTCCCACATGCAGTGGGGAGACAATCGGGACAACTGTGCAAAGCATGACGGGAGTTTTGCGAGGGCAGCGGCGAGGGCAGGCGGAGTGAGGCGGAGCCCCGTTGTGCGCCCGTATTTATACGGCCCCAAACTGCCCGCGCAACGCCGCGGGACGCGCTGCGCAATTGTTTCTTTCTCCCCCGCCAGAAACATCCCCGCTTGTGTTGCAAGCAGTGACCATTTCATGCGGCTTGGGGGTCGGGCAGCCGCATAGGCGAGCCTGGCCTGAGGACAGGCAACT